GATAGATAGATAGATAGATAGATAGATAGATAGATAGATAGATAGATCTAGGAAACAGTACAACTTCGAAAAGATGTGTTGTCAGGTGTGCCATATGCACTGAGCTAGCACACATGGAGCAGGGCATGGTTTCCAATGGTGTCTGCGGCACTTCATGAACCTAAATGTGTCAACATCTGACTACAGGGACCAGCAGGATCAGCCTACTTGGCCACAATGCAATCAACATCCACCAATACCTTAACAACCATTGTTTGCACTGTTTTTAAACCCTCCTTTTTGGTGGTTCTTAAACACCTCTATCTCTGTTCAAACCCTCAACCCTAGGTATAAGAAACAGAAGATTAGTAGGGATAAGGGATGGGGTGATTACACTCTTCATCATAAGGATTCAAGCATCCCAGCCAAACAGCAAACAATGAATCAGCATCCTCATCCTCTAAGCATTATCCGGACCTATTCTCTCTAGCATCATCTCGAAGCAGCCTCTCTTATTTATATCCTCTCAGAGTTCTCATAGCACACACAGGAGACAGTTTCCAGCTGATAAAGATCACTCACCCTCTCATGAGGCTATTATCTGCTATTGATAAACTAAAAGCATTCCCACATCTCACACTTGGGATTACAACAAAAATATATTTACAGAGTGTAAGTGAGTTATTAAATAAACCAAAACTTCCACTGTAGTTTGTACAGTGAGTTCATCTAGCACCCAGCCATATTCAGTCAGTTATAGGTGTTTTATAATCCAGGAATAAAACAAACATTGTTTTATATTTGTCTCATTTTCCTTTCCCTTAAACCAATTCTTTATTTTTCTCTTCCCTGATCTCTTTTGCAAGTAACCATAATACCTAAAAAATGAAAGAAAATTCTTTTATTTATTTAAGTGTTTACTTTTACTAATGAACTACATTAAATGTTTATTTAATATTACATGAGCTTATGTTGAGGAAAAACATAGTTAAATTTGAGTGTAAATTTTTAAAGATTAGGTAGTTATGTATTAAATTGTCTGAAATATTCAGTGTACTTTAAAGTAGACACTGAACTGCTTTAGAATTGAATTTATGTTAATTAAATTAAATTAAACTGACAACCTCCAACTACTCTGGTTCTCACCCACCATTTTTGATCATACCTCCAAGGTTTAGTTCTCTCTAAAAATGCGCAGTAGAAGCAGATGGAAAAGCAGCTGATCCATACTTATATGTGTGTACTGTTTATAAACTGTGAAGGAGTGTGGTTTTGTACTCTACCACACTCACATGTCAACAGTTCTCTGTGAAGAGACTGTATCTCCAAAAGGAAAACAAAAAAGCAGTGAGAAAGAGTTCTTAGGAAAGTCATTTCTTCTGATTTAGACCTGCTAGTATACCTCTGTTATACAGTTCAATAGAGAAGCTGGCAAAGAACCTGTCTTGCAGGGACATAGGACTCCTTTAGTGTTCCTTGAAGAAGAGTTGGGCAAGTAGCTTCTTTGAAGCTTTTTCTCTTGCCTACTTTCAGTAGTATTCAACATTGATAACTATAAATACTTATGAATATGGTGAGGATAATTTACCTTTGTAGACAGAAATGCCACTATACCTATATTCTTTATTATCTACAAAATAACAACTTCAATAATATGAGAAATGCTATCCTTTAAATTTCAAAAGTGTCCCTGAGTTTATATCTTAATTGTAAAAGATAACTAATTCTGTAAAAGCTTGCAGTGATTATTCTTTGTCACCTCAAATTAGAGGACAATATATTATCTAGCAGGACAAATACCTGTCTGGGTATAATATATATAAAGTTTTTACTGCTATATAATAGAGGAATTGTACCATACCTGGTTTCTTTTAGAAACAAGTCTGATGCTTAAAAAGTAACTCATCTCTTCAAGAGGAAATATGATTTATGGTAAGCCAAGACACCGATTTGACCGGAACCACATTCCATTTAAACTCACTGTGCCACTGGTCTATAAAAGCAGTGCTCTACACTGCGTCTGTGAAACCCTGTACTCCCGAAGTGGACAGAGCACAAGCACTGATGAGATGGCTTTTATTAAAAGATGGTTGATTGATGACAGAGTCAGATCCTTTCTTATTTCAAAAGTCCTGGCTTAGTCCTGGCATTCTGTCCTTTTCCTCTCTGTCATCACCACTACCATCACCAGTTTGCATGTGTGCTTTGACATTGCTTTGGTAACCCTGAGGACTGATGGAATTCTTTGCATCTCTTTTCACAGAGGGTGACGAGACAGGAGTGATGGATAGTCTGCTGGAGGCCTTGCAGTCAGGGGCTGCCTTCCGCGACAGAAGAAAAAGGACACCGAAGCTGAAAGGTGAATTCTTTTCTTGTTTAATGTTGCTTTCTTGGGAATAGTCACAGGGAAGAGCTGGTTCTCCTCCTCATTCTTTTAAAGTCATATGTCACAGGGACAGTGCTGTGGATAGCAATTGTTCCTAAGTTTTCGAAGTTCACTTAATCTCTTGCAGAGGTGGGTGTTAGATACACATTCCAGTTGCTTGTGTCAGCAGCACATTAACACATCAATGCGCTGAACCTGGAAAATCCTGATTAGTGTGATAAGTCTCATTAAGAGAACATATGCACCTTGTCCCAGTGGAGGTTAGGGTAGTACAGTTAAACAGGAAGTAAAAGTCATAGCATTACTGCTTTAAGTATTTCAGGGCATTGAAATATTGCATTCATTGTTTCGAAAAATCAAGTAGCACCCTTTTACATCTTGAGTTGAAAAGACCCACATATAAAATTAAATCAGTCTCTCTCTCTCTCTCTCTCTCTCTCAACAGATATTCGGCAGAGTCTTAGTCCAGTGTCTCAGAGGCCTGTTCTTAAAGTTTGTAATCATGGTAATAAACCTTATTCTTAAATTGCATTTATTCTTAACTGTCTTTATCCTGTTGGTCTGCAATTTTTACTATGCTGCTACTGAAGTTCTCAAGTTCCAATATAACTTAAGATAGTAAAAATGGTAGATGCATGACTTTGCTCTGAGATTGTGGGCTCAGCTTTTCCATATTGCATTATTGCCTTGACCTTGTTTCTTCAGTTTTCCTAATCAGGTTGCAAGTGAATGTTTTTTTGATAGTAGTATTGTTTGAGGTTACATTTGCACATTTCTAATCAGAATCAGCTAGTGTACCATTTCAAAGCATTGTGATTTCATGGTAACTGCTTTTAAGTAGTGGATTGACTATACAGGACACATGTGAAATATTGAAACCTGTATCCATGTTTTCATGCCTTTTTAGTCAGTGCAGTTACAAATTCTTCAACTCTCATTTTGGAGAAACTGTAAATATAGATGATCTTCATGTACTGTTACAATGGAATGATGTTACAATGGAATGATGTTACAATTGACGTTAATTATTTTCATCTCTGATATTCACCATGAACTTGAATCCTTTTTTAAAAGATCCTATATGAATGTCATTTGCCTCTGCTCTGTTCCCATATTTAGGAGTCCATCTCATTTAGATTAGCTCTTATTCATTTGGTTTCTATTCTGTCAAATTCTCTTTTCTTGGATTCTGCTTACTCAAAATCATGTTAATCCTCTGTGAGTCCCATTGATTCAGGGCAAGGTTGTTGTCAAAGTTTGCTAGATTTGACAGAAAGCTACCTGGCAGATTTTATTCAAAGCTTTTGGGAATGCTTGGGAGTTAGTTTCTGTAAGTATTAATATGTGTGCCATGCTTCTAACTGATCTAAATCATTGATGTAAAGTAAGAAAACACAGGGATTTGATGATTGCTTAGTATCCATGTATTCTTAGTAAATGCTTCAGTATTGACCAGAAAGATGAAATCTGTAAAAGTATTTTAAAGAGATCTTTCAACTTTTTGAAGTATGTGTTGGCTTTGGATTTGGTTTTTTTGTTCTAAACAACAATAACAAAAAGAATTGGAATAACTGGTGTTCATTATGAGTAATAAGTAATTCCAGATCTTTGCTTATGATTGATTTTATATAATCATAGCTTGAAGAATAATAGATAAAAGTCTAAAGAATAATGGGAACCTGAACTTTAGACATGATTTGGTTTACCAGAGAAGTAAATGGAAATCCACAGTAGCTGGAAATATCTCAGAGGAGCATAGCTATTGACAGCCCTGTTGGCCACCATGACAATTTGTAGAATAAGATGCTATTTTAGAGTTAATTGTGTATTTTCTTTCTAAAAGGTACTTTCTTTTCATTGGGAATACTGATATTACCAATGAACTCTGTGCAGCATGGAGCCTACTTTTTAATTTGTTCATATGCTTTAAATAATGCCAGATATTTACATTTTATACAAGTATATTTGTTGACGTTGACTTCATAAGTTATGTTTTAATTTATAAGATTTTGTATTTTAAGTTTTGTAGTTTATTCATATTTTAAATAATATAGAATAATCATTAACTGAATTATTGTCTACAGAATAATATTTCCACATATTCTACTTCTCAACATTTTTGTTTCCTTGTCATAGTTGAAAGTAATCAAAAAGTGAAATAAATCTAACAGCTTTCTTAAAGACATTCTGCCAAAAATTGAATTTTTGCTCATAGAGAAAAGTCAGGGTTTAAGTTCATAATCTGTTTTCCATACCATCCTGAGAAGAACTGTGTGATCAGGGTTTGAGCCGTTCCCAGGCAGGAGCTGGGCACCTGTTTTCTCTTGTGGCCCAATGTAAAGCTATTGAGCTGCAGCCTCTGGGAGGTTCTGCAGCCTCTAGTGTGCTTTGCCTCTTCATCCCAGATGTAGCCACTAGATAGCACTGTTTTGCTAGTCTGTGTCTTAGGTTGCAAAAGCATTCTTCTGGAATGATGGCTACTTTTTATTTCTTTTAATGAAACCACTGCATAAACATCTACGTTAGCTTTAACAATAAAATGCTATATAGAAATAACATAGAAAATGTAGATTATATATATGAACATTTAAGTTAGATATACATACATATAAACATGTGCACATACATACATACATATATATGTAACAAGCCACATATGTAATCTTATTAGTTGCTGTTTAACCTTTTGTCTTCATATCTTTTATTTGCCATATATCATTTTCTTTTTAAAATCATAGCTATAGTTCTAAACCTTGTAGATATATCTTCATATGCTTAGTATTATTTAGAGTTCTCTAGAACTTATAGAATGAATCTCTATATGTAGAGAAAAACGATTTAGTAGAATGACTTACAGGCTGTGTCCAGATAATCCAATAGTGGCTGGTTGTGAGCAGAAAGAAATCCAGTAGTCGCTCAGTTCACTAGGCTGGATATCTCAGCTTATTTTCTTATATGCTAGAATCCTGAAGAAGTACTAATGCCAGTCAAGGAATGGACTTGCTGATTGGAAAGTTGTAAGAAAGACATTTAGGAAAGAAGTACATGGATAGATCTCTCCAAATAGGAAAAGGATATGAAGATACTCTTGCCTCATGTAAATGCTCGCATGTAACTCCTCAGCCAAGAGTTCAGTAATCAAGTAGATCAGAGACTCATTCTATGGGCAGTCAGCCTCTTTCCCCAGCCAGTCATGTCATTGCCCAAAGGGCTTATGAACAAATTGGCTATTATGGCAGAGATGTGGGTTATGTATGGGCTCAACAACTTACATCTACACTCATCAAGGCTGACCTGGCTACAGCTGCTGCTGAACCCACAGCAGAAACCAACACTGAGCCCCAGATATGGGTCCCATTAGCCAGGTGACCAGCCTGCAACCTGATGGCAGGTTGAATACGTAAGACCACTTCCACCATGAAAGAGACAGTGTTTTGTCGTTATTGTAGTAGATACTGATTCTTGTTATGGATTTGCCTTTCCTGAATATATGTTCTGCCAAAACCACTATGCATGGAGATACAGAATGCTTTGTCCACCATCATGGTATTGCACTCAATATTAGTCCTGAACAAGGAACTCATCTCAAAGTCATTGCAGAATCTACTGTTTTTAGCATGTTCCCCACCATCCTGAAGCAAATGCCTTGAAAGAGAGGTGGAATGGCCTTTTAAAGACACATTTATATTGCCAATTAAGTGGCAGCAAACTAGAGGGTTGGGGCAGTGTTCTTAAGGCAGTAAGTGCTTTAAAGAAGTGTCCAATATATGGTAGTGTTTCTGTTTTAGCAGGATCTACAGGTCCAGGACTCAAGGAGTGGGAAAGGGAATAGTTTTAATCATCACCTGAGTGACCAACTAGGAAATGTTTTGTTCCCTGTTCCCTTACCTTAAGTTTGCTGGCCTAGAAATTTTAGTTTCAGAAGAGGGAGCCACAACAAACATTCCATTAAATTGGAAACTCAGACTTTCTTCCGGCCATTTTGGGCTTCTAATGCCTGTAAACCAATAGGCTAAGAAAGGAATAACAGTATTAAGAGTAGTGATTGATCCAGATTACCATGGGGGAAATTAGATTGCTTCTTCACAATGGAGGTAAGAGAGATTGTCTGCAGTGCAGGAAATCCTTTAGGGCATCTCTTGGTACTACCGTGTCCTGTGATTAAAGTCATTAGGAATTTAATGATGTCCTTTTTTTTAATATCTGAGTAGTATTCCATTTGTAAATGTACCATATTTTTTTTATCCAAGTTTTTTCCCAGTTCTGGCTATTACAGTTAGAGCTGCTATGAAAACAATTGAGCAAATGTCCTCATTGTATGGTAGAGCATCTTTTGGGTATATCCCCATGAGCTGGGTCTTGAGGTAGAACCATTCCTAATTTTCTGAGAAAGTGCCAGATTAATTTCCAAAATGGTTGTACAGTTTACACTCCCACCAGCAATGGAGGAATGTTCCACTTTCTCAAACCCTCGACCCCAAGTTTTTGATCTTAGATCTGTCAGGTGTTAACATTAGAATCTCTGAGTTGTTTTGATTTGCATTTCATTGATGATTTAGAAAGTTGAATATTTCTTTAAGTGCGCCTTGGTCATTAAATATTTCTCTGTTGAGTATTCTTTGTTTAGCTCTGTACTGTTATTTTTCAATTTAGGTTGTTTGATTTGTTGCTGTCTAGTTGCTTGATTTCTTCATATATTTTGGATATTGGCCCTGTCAGATGTAAGCTTAGTAAAGATCTTTTCTGTCCATTTAATGGTGTCCTTTGCCTTACATAAGCTTTTAAATTTCATGAGGTCTCATTTTTTAATTGCTGATCTTAGTGCCTTAGCTGTGAGTGTTCAGTTCAAGAAGTTGTCTCCTGTGCCAGTGCATTCAAAGCTGTTCTCTACTTTTTCTTCTGTTAGATTTAGTGTATCCAGTTTTATGTTGAGGTCTTTGATCTGCTTGGTTTCAGTTTGGGCAGGGTGATGGATATAGATCAATTCGCATTCTTCTACATGCAGATTTAGCAGCATCATTTGTTGAAGATCCTTCTTTGTTACATTGCATGCATAGTTTTGACTTCTTTGTCAAAAATCAAGTGTCCATAGGTGTGTGGGTTTAGTTCTAAGTCGTCTTCGGTTCAATTCCATTGATCAACCTGTCAGTTTTTATGACAATACCATGTGATTTTCATTACTATTGCTCTATAGTACAGCTTGCGATCAGGGATGATGATACCTCAAGAAGTTCTTTTATTGTTATTACTCAGCTATTAAATTCAGTGACATCATGAAATTTGCAGGCAAGTGGATGGAATTAGAAAAAATGATCCAGAGTGAGGTATCTCAGACCCAGAAAGACAAACATGGTATGTGCTCACTTAGAAGTGGATATTAGCCATAACATACAGGATAACCGTATAATCCACAGACCCAAAGAAGCTATGGAACAAGGGGAGCACAAGGGAGGATTCTTGAACGTCACTGAGAAGGGGAAATAAAACAGACATGGAGATAGATGG